TAATCGTAAAGCGACTTTGAGATGAAATGCGATAGTACCTCGCGCTGTTGCAGTAACTGCCTCCGTAACCTACGAATTGCAGATCTATGGCGCACGTTATGAGGCCAGTTTTTGATGCATTTTGCCACGTCCCTGGGCGTGTGGCCCGTGCTGTGAAATTTCCTAAATAATATGTCCGTTGAATGGTTGCTTTGCTGTGCATGCAGTTACCATGCATGGCCTGGCAAATCGTAGTTGTTCTGAATGCCAGCAGGTTTCCGGCACCTGAGAAATTCACCTGCGAGGCGACTGTGCGTGTGAATATGAGCTCACACATGTTGCTGGCACATTCGGAGAGCGTTTCCCTTGTATTCCTTGCAAAAATGACACCTGATGAATATGAAGCAAATGAACGCACGTTTGCGCTCACGTAAAGGAACTTACGAATTTGTCATGTGTCTCTTAGTCTGCAAGGGAAGCTTCGAAGGAGTACATGCTTTCCACTGTGGTGAAAGGGATGTGGAATGGTCAGCCTTACGGCATCCCCAATTGAATTAAGCGCAGTACCCATTGAGTTCAAGGTGCGGAGGACGAAATGCGAAAGGTCTTAAAACAATGGAACGAGTGGTCAAACATGTTATAAGGTTACCGTTCAAAGGTTTAACAGCCTTCTGAATTTCTGTGGCGATAATCGTTTACGCACGGCGGCATGTGGGGCAGTAACCTGCATTCCTGTGAGAAGTGCGAATTACTTACTTTCCGATTTGTCTGCTTTTGATTCCGCCTGAGATACGAATTGGGTAACATTCTCTGATAAAGCTGATCGTATTACTCAAAGCGTAATCACAGCATACCTGTTTCCCGTAGGATAGCAAGACTTGAGACCGGAAAAAGGTTAGGGAAGGTAGCTACGGAATCATTGGAAAGTGAATACGTGCAATGAGGCTGGACCCCATCGCAATGAGACTGGACCTTACCGTGGTGCGATGGTTTGTGTGCCTCAGAGATCCATTGAGCTATACTGGGTGGTGCTTTTGCACCTTCAGAGCCACTCATACCAGATCGGTCAATGGTTAGAGGCCAGACAAACTCAGCCTCCTGGTGCTCCAGGTTGGGGGTTGGAATGAGGGTGACTCCTTATTCCTTAAAACGGACTCCTTGTAGTCCAGTGCCAAACCCGCTGCCTTGCGGCCAGGTTTTTGAACCAAAGGCTTGGGTTGAGAACCCTAATCGTTCTCCTGTCTAGGCGTGGGCAACCTGACAGTATCCTGCCCACGCAATACAATGAATTTCTCTTCAAACAGTTTCTTGATGCTCTGGCCACCGCAGAGGATAATCAACGGTGCTCTATCTGCTGCATCGAGCAGGGTGGATACGGGTTTGGATGCTACTGCTCAAGCCTTCCCATCTTCTTATCCCCTTCTTGCGCTTTTTCACCCTTATCGTCCCGTTCCAGCTTCACTTTTATCCACCCTGTTTTCAACCCTCCCCCACCTTGCTTCAATAGTCGCTTGTCTTTTAGTTTCAACTCACAGGTGAACGCAGAGCGTCATTCCTGCACTGTCAACAGTCCCATGTCCAAGCAAGCGGCCCATTCCAGTTCATCGGCTTCCATTTGGAGCCCTCGATCCTCCTTCAGACTGGCATGCCTCAATTTTCGCACATTGCTTCAGATCGGTCAACAGGCAGCACTTGCACGAACATTAGAGACCCTCTCGATCGATATTGCTGCTTATCGGAGACCCGCCTGCAAGACTCGAGCTCTGTACTCATTCTGTGATCCCCTTCAGGTGATACTAGCAGCACTTTCTCATTGCGCCTATCCAGTGACGATGCAGTTTCGAGCACCGGCCAAACCGGTGTTGGTATTGCCGAGTCCCCGAGCTGAAGCTGTTCTGGTTGATTGGATTCCAATCACTAGCCGGATGTGTGCGGTCCGATTGGCTGGCTCGTTCAAAGCTTCGAAGTCGCGTGGGACTAACAGGTGTCTATTCGTTATCGCTGCCTATGCACCGACAAACTGTAACGATGACTCGGTAAAAGATGACTTCTATCGCAAACTGAACGAACTCCTTCGCCACAGAAGAAGCTCGGACACTGTAGTGCTGGCTGGGGATCTGAACGCTCAAGTTGGAAAATTATCTACAGATGAGCTGCATCTGGGCGGCCAACACGGTATAGGCTCCCGTAATGATAACGGTGAGCGGTTACTTCATTTGTGTGAAGATGCTCGCTTATTTCTTGCGAACACTAATTTCCGACACAATACCCGCCGGAGGGTGACTTGGTGCCCACCAGCCTCGAACCAGCTATGGACGCAAATCGATCACATTGCTATCAGTTACCGCTGGAGAGGCTGCGTCCAGAACTGTCGCTCGATTTGGAGCACAGGTGTAGACACCGATCATGCACTTGTATGTGCTGACCTGCGGATGCGCTTTGGCGGACGCCCGCGACGATGTTGTGAGCGCATTGACACCGGCAGACTGGTGAAGCCAGCTGCTCTGAACGCCTATCAAATTACGCTGTCATCCGAGTTGGATAAACGCTCACTGGATGCAATTGAAGCTCACTGGTCTCATATGCAACAGGCCTTACTAGCAGCAGGCAAATCCTCATGTGGTATGTCTAATCGCCAACATGAACATTGGGTCTCTTCACAGTCTCTGGAACTTATCGATGCTCGCCGGCATATTCCGGCTGGAAGCGAACACAATGAAACTCGCAAAGAGCTCCGGGCAAAACTCCGTGCTAGCCTGAAGAGAGACCGCGAATCCTGGTGGTCTCGTCGTGCAACAGAGATGGAAATGGCCGCTGCCCTTGGTAACCATCGTGAGTTATTCCGTCTTATACGGGAAACGGGCAGCAGGAGACCTGGTGTTAGTGAAACTATACGTGACGAGAGTGGACAGCCTATCCACAACTTATCAATACGCCTGGAACGTTGGGCTGAGCACTTTGAAAGGCAATTGAATCGGTGGGAATTGTTAGATTTCTCGACGACCAGTGATCGCCCTGCTCCCTGGGCTGTTCCTCTGGATCAACCCTCTCGCTCAGAAGTCGAACATGAGATTAAACTGTTGAAGTTAAATAAAGCCGCGGGACCTGATGACCTTCCTCCAGTCCTCTTCAAATTCGGGGGACCTGCTCTTGTGGATGATTTACACGAGTTACTAGTCAAACTGTGGGAGCAGAAAACTGTCCCAATCGATTGGAGCCGCTCCGTCATAGTCCCAATTTTCAAAGGAGGCTCACGATCGGAATGCGGCAGCCATAGAGGAATCAGTCTGATCTCCATCGCCTCAAAATTGCTTGCCTCTCTCATCCTTCACAGACTGACTGGCACTCGCGAAAGCCAGATTCGCGAAGAGCAAGCCGGGTTTCGTCGAGGTCGTAGCTGTATTGACCACATCTTCACCTTGCGTCAGTGGTTGGAGCACCGTCACATATATTGGCGGCCCACCGTTGTCGTGTTCCTCGATATCAAAGGTGCATTCGATTCGGTGGATAGACATGCACTTTGGGACTGTCTACTCAGGAAAGGTGCATCTGAGAAATATGTGAATATTATCCGAGCATTATATGCGCGTAGCTCGGGCAGAGTGAGGGCTTACGGCAAGTTGTCGTCGCCCTTTAATATCTCCAGCGGTGTGAGACAAGGATGCCCGCTGTCACCTTTCGTCTTCAACTTCGCTGTTGACGAAGTCATGGAAATCGCGTTTACAGGACACGACTTAGAAGGTGTGGAACTACTCCCAGGAAAACGACTTCTTGATTTAGAGTATGCTGATGATATTGCCCTAATCTGTGACAGCTCCCAGACGTGCCAAACGGCACTGGACAGATTAGCACTAGCTGTCCGTCACTTCGGGCTTTGCTTCGCACCCTCGAAGTGCAAAGCGTTTCTCCAAGATTGGTCTGGACCGCCTCCTACGCTGACCGTTGGTGGGGATCAGCTAGAAGTCGTTCAAAAATTCAACTACCTGGGAAGCTGTATCAGCGCCCGTGGGATTGAAGATGAAATCACGAATCGTATAGCAAAAGCTCGGGGCGCTTTTGCTAACCTTCGCCGCTTATGGCGCCGGCGCGACATCACTCTTGCCCTGAAAGCTAGAGTGTACAATGCAGCAGTACGTTCGACCCTACTGTCCGGTTGTGAAACCTGGCCGCTTAAAGCAGCGGACCTGAAGAGGCTAGTCACATTCGACCACCGGTGCCTTCGTAATTTAGCCCACATTTGGTGGGAACACCGCGTGAGCAACAAGCGTGTTCGACGCCTTGTTTATGGCACAGGAAAAGGAAATGAACCGCTCAGCACCGTTATTTCACGCACCATGCTCCGATGGCTCGGCCACGTGTTACGCATGCCAGCCCACCGACTTTCGCGAAGTGCGTTGTTTGCGCGTCGGAAGTGTGGATGGAAGAAGAGGAGGGGTGGCCAAGCGATGAGTTGGTCGAGATGAATGAAGGCCCTCACTTCTGAGCTGGCCTCGGTTGGAGCGTCTAGCCTCCCTGGCTGGGGTCCGAAAGACGATGAACACGTTTGGTTGGACACACTTGCTGATATGGCTAGGAGCCGACCTCAGTGGCGTTCGTGCTGTGAGTTTCTTTGTCCCACCCATCCCTCTTAGCCTCCTCCTCCAACCACGATCTCATTATTTGGCCTTATATAATTTTGCATAATAAGTTTTTTTTGGGTGCACAGCAGCCGGCTGGTAGCTTACCGGAACGATGGCCATCCGTTACCGGTAGCTCAGCCAGCTTGCACCAGTTGCTTTTTTTCTGCTTTTTTCTATGTATTGCGGCACAGTAGCTGAGGTGTTCCCCACCTCTAGCTAACGTGTATGATGATGATGATGAGGATTCGACGCTTAAACAGCATGGTCAGCTACTGTGCCCCATTACATAAACGACTAAGGAAAATAAATACAAAAGTTGCATGCCAGCTGAGCTATCAGCAACGGATACGCATCGTTCCGGTAAGCTACCAGCCGGCTACTAGGTAAAAAGAAAAAATTGGATGTGTTTTACGCTAAGAAATGAGATCGTAGGTGGAGGAGGAGGCTAAAAGGGATGGGGAGGGACAAAGAAACTCACAGCACGAACGCCACTGAGGTAGGCTCCTTGCCATGTCAGCAAGTGTATCCAGCCAAACGTGTTCACCGTCTTTTGGACCCCAACCAGGGAGCCGTGACGATCCAACCGAGGCCAGCTCCGAAGTGAGGAAGTGTGTGTTCAATCCTTCTGCACGGAATATACCCACATCACTGGACCGAAGTTTATGCAGGTAGAGGTCCGTTGTTCGGGCAAATGCCTGACACGTTTCCCGCCTTTTTACGTATGCTGCGTATGACAAATGGCTTGCCGGAAACATTGATCACATTGTTCGGAGACTTAGAGGAATAGTACACCATTGATGAAAAAAGTAAGTAAGCGTTTAATAAACACGAAATGTACACCGTCAACACATTGGTCCGGTGCACGATGGCATAATGACAGCACTTCTTGGCACTAATCATGGCACTTCTTCTTAGCAGTGGACGATATCCACAATGACATCATGCTACGCGTTACACCGAGGCATACTGCGTGCATATAGTCAATTGGGAATGCGCTTATCATATCTATAGGTAAGCATTCGAAAGGTGATGGCTCGTCGTGGCTAGCACGCCGAAAGGTTTCATCCGTACGAAGCCGGCAATTAGTCCGTGGAAATGTGACCCGATGGTCTACCACGTTGAGAGCACTCGTTACAGCTGCTGTATTCGGAGTGTCCTTTGATTCTCTTCACGAATATTCGTGCAGGGGCATCGTATATACCACCGGATACGTATCCTTTTGTTGCAAATGAGTTACCAGGTAATTTTAGGCCGCCCCTACGCAATACGATGAGCACTTTTATTAAGGCAGCCAAAAATTGACATACATCCGAGGGTTTAACTGAACCATGATATAACCCCACGGCAAAGGGGGTTGAAACGAACGGTGAAATGATTCTACACAGAATTGGCCACACCTGCAGTCGAGACGAACTGAAAGGGGAGAATCCGTCTATGTGCAGTTGGATTTTAACTTTCTGTGGTGGGTTAACATTCTGGCACTGACATGCTGTCGTCAAACCAAGGGGTACACCAAGGTGACTGTATGTCCCAGATTCCAAGCTGGTGCTTTCTGCTTCCCGTGGGGTTTTCATCAGGGTTCCATAGTCCTTCGGCATGTCGGGGTGATATGGCAGAAGAATAGACAGTAACTCATTACCAGCTGATACCGATATATGACAATTTATAATCCACTGCCGCAGATAATTGTGCAGTGTTTTGTCCTTTATGTCGGATACTCCGGAGACAACCACGTGGTCCAGATGGTGTTGCATAGCAAAAGCTGCGTACACATATCAATGGTAAGGGTAGTCGTGTTCTCACTTTCTGGAACAATACTGTTGCATAGGTACCCTTCTGTGTTTTCAAAGATAGGTTCCGCATCCTGAGCAACTGCATTACGCTGGTCTAAACATTTCCTTAGAAGTTTCACATATATAACCTATTTCCGTTGGAAGCACTATTACACCACTAGCGCCTAAGTGCATGGTGTGCACATCGCCAACGCCTTGTGTGTACACAGGCTGCAGCGATTCCGCCTCCTTACGCCATTTGTATAACGTTACCCGGCTAGGTATAAAGTATGAGCACAGGCGATAATTTCTCCTCATATCAAGCGCCTAGTACGCTTGGAGTCATAGTACATGCTTTAAAATTGGAGCGTCGGATCCGCCAATCGCGATCAATGATCTTTTGGCAGTGTGATTCAAGTTCAAGTGAGTCTGGAACAGTAGGATAAATCTCCGTGAATGTTCCTTCCGTGGCGCGTCGTTGATCCAAGCTATTATTCGTCCGCGATAACTGGAATCCAGAAGAGTCAGATCAGCGCGCGCGAATCACACCACGGTCAACCAATTAATACCCACGCGACCTGCATTGGTAGTCCCGGCCGCACCGATCACGTGAAATAAGAGAGAAGTACGAAAGTAATAAGAGCGTCAAGAAAAAAAGATTTAATAATTCAATAAGACGAATAAGCTAGGAAGTGAACGGCAATGTTAAGAATTGAAGGCCAAGAGTATCGAGTAGGTATTCGAACTCTTTCACTGTTGGTACCAATACCACGTTCTCGGGCAGTGCATTCCAGGAATCCACCACTCGGCGTGATAAACGTAAGTCCGCCCGGACTCCATCCGATCGAGGTTTGTGTAGCTTCATCGAGTGACCTCGGAGCGATGGAAGCCGAGTCGGTTGGAAAAGCCTAGATAAATCGGATCGGATTTTACCGGTAAGTATGCGATAGGTCAAGAATAGGTCGCCTCGATGGTGACGATAATGCATTGAGAACAGTCCCAGCGCAAGTAGTCTTTCTGGGTAAGAATGGTCCCGTAGTCCATGAAGCAGTTTGGTTCCAACTCTTAACACTCTCCACTGACATCCTGTCCCTGACTAAGCAAGGTGGGCAAGTCTGGATGCAGTATTACAAGTGTGACCTGACAAATGCTGAGAATAACCTAACAAACATAGCGCCCGTGATGGTCCAGAATGCCATGCGGATCATCCACAACATTCTGAAATCCATACACGTAGCTTTCCTCCAGTTCTCATTGGATTTAAGTTCTGAAGACAACGTGACCCCTAGGTCTATCAATTGGGAAACATCGGGTAGTTCACTACCGCCAAGCAGATAATGTGTTTGGTGGACATTTGGCCCTATTCGTAAGATGAAACACTGCATAATTTATGGGCAACTGCCACAGAGCAGCCCAGTCCAAAAATTTATCGAGGGCCCGTTGCAGAGTCTGGGGTCCATCGAAGTCAGACACTATGTGCCAAAACTTCAGGTCATCTGCAAACATGGGAGATGGTACCTCCAGCAGTTAGGGCAGCTCATTGATATACAAAGAAAATAACTCTGAGGGACCCCAATGAGGATGACTGACGGAGACAACTAGATCCCACACGAACACATCCCTCTCCCTTCCAGAAAGGTGGTGATCCATTCTAGTGCACGCGCTGATATTCCATAAGACCGAAGCTTCAAGGAGAGGCGAGAATGTGATGCAGTGTCGGACGCCTTGGAGAAGTCAATAAACACTACATCTACTGCATGACCCCGATCCAAAGCATCCGCCCAACATTTGCGTGCAACTAACAAATTAGTCATGCAGAAATGACCCTTGCGAAAGCCGTGTTGAAGTGGACTGAGCAGACCAAACTCGCGCAGGTGGTTTGCAAGCACATATCTGACCAACTTCTCCAATACCTTGACCAGTACGCTTGTCAAACTTACCGGTCTATAATTGGCAGGGAGATCCTTGTCATCCATTTTAAAAATCGGGCAGACGATAGCATCCTTTCAGTCCTTGGGAAAGGAGCAGCTGCGAAGCGACAACTGAAACAAACGTGTCACTGGACCACATAGCTCGCTTGCGAGTTCGTACAAAAGCTTAGGGTGAATACCATCCATCCCAGCGGATATAGACTCTGAAGAAGATGGAGAACTTTTGCCTCCGAAATTGTGACATGTGTTAAACAGGAGTCCTGTGGGACTCTCAATGCTAGGTCAACATGCGGCAATTGCTCATCCCGAACAAAAGTCCCGGCATACTGCGCACTGAGTAGACATGCTTTTTCGTGATCAGTAGTGGCAGGGGCGCCGTCGGTGCCTTTTGTATTGCGGCACAATAGCTGAGGTGTTTTCCACCTCCAGCTAACGTGTAATGATGATGATGCCGTCGGTGCCTAATAACACTGGGATAGATGAGCCAAGGTTACTAGGCTTTTGACGTAGGCGAGGAATCTTTTGGGGTTTGCGGAGGCGGAGTTAGCCAGCTCCATCTCATAGCTAAGTCTAGTAGCTCGTAAATGACTCTTGCAAGCATTCCGAGCTTCACGATAACGCCGAAAAGTACATTCTGAGAGAACTGTTCGGTAGATCCACCAGCATCTTACCCGTCTATTCATTAGCTGGTGGGCGACTGATTCCAACCATGGTGGCTTCGCTTTGGTACTCTTCTTTGCCGAAAAAGGGATGTGGGGGTGGGATATATTAAAGAGAAAGGACTTAAACGTATCCCAAGCCGTCTGTATATCATCATCCGGCAAGATGATGCATAGGAAACTTACTGCCTTGGCTCTAATAGACGGAAAGTCGGCGTGCCAAATGTTCGGAGTCCGAGCCCTGCGTGAATCGTAGTCTCTAATGAGAGCACAAGTGAATGACAAACACGCATGGTCACTGGTTCCCAAAGGGGGACCGTACTCAAGGTCACTCACAAAGTCAACCGACTTTGCGAAAACTAGGTTCAACAGAGAAGGGGCATGACCCATCATGTACCTGGTGGGTCGATAGACAAATTGGTGTAAGGGTACTTCCAGTGTCAAGTCAACAAACTCGGCAGCCAATCCTGTTGTCACTGCCTCATAAGATAGGTCATGCCAATTTATTGCGGGGACGTTGAAGTAACCTTTATCAAGCATCTGTTCGCAGAGTGGGTGCGGATGAAGTCAATGAAACTCCTAGAAGCGCTATCAGGGCTCTTATACCGCAGCACAATTTTAAATTGCGTTGATTCGGTACAGACTCCAACTGCAAGAGCTTCAACAGTTTTATCAGCTGAGTTAAAGGTATGTGTTTTTGATATGTTTACACCACGTCTGATATACAAGGTGACTCCACCTCCACGGCGATCAGATCTCAGTATTGCGTAGCCAGGAAGGTATAATTCACTGTCCATGAGGTCAGAAGACAACCAGGTTTCAGTGAACGCGAGTACATCAGGATGGGAGTGGTCTATTAGGGCCCCTACTTCACACATCTTGTTTCGCAGGCTATGCACATGGCTGAGAACTATGTGAAAACGTTTGGTATGGAGAGCCCCGGGTCGTGTGCTACCAGAATGGGCTCTGGTAGGGCGGAAGTGGACCGTCGACTCACCACCCGAAAACCCACCAAACATAAACCTTCCTCGCCAGCTTCGCGACGCGCTTTAAGGTTTTTGATGGCTTCCTTAAGCTTTATCCTATCTGCTAAAGGTAGAGCCGGCTGTATACTCTCCGGAACCTTTAGTTTAAAGGAGAAGCGCAAAAGAGCTTGGCGCTAATCGGGTGTAGACAGGACCAGGCGTAACAGACGGGGTCTACATTTAGTACTATCACCCGATATGTTTCCAAGCCTAGTAAGTTCTCTAACAGTAACCCCAGGAAACCCGGGTGGAATTAGTTTAGAAACGCAAAGTTTGAACCAATGAAGGTCGTCAAGCATGCGATCTTTCGGAAGAGCCGCAGAGGACTCCGAGATATTCCTAAAGATAACGCTGCTGTCCGTAAATGCATCACTACGACGAGAGGTGTTTACGGCACGC